AATCACCGAGCCTGGGGGTGTTCAAGGAAAGACTGGATGTTGTGTTGAGGGACATGGTTTAGTGGGAGCTATTGGGAATAGGTGAACGGTTGGACTGGGTGATCTTTTAGGTCTTTTCCAACCTTGGTGATTCTATGATTCTATGATTCTATGAAAGGCTCAAACACTGGGAGAGAAATAGGTCGAAAATGTATTAATTTTAAAACGTCGTTAACTGTAGCCGTGCAGCAGCATGGAAGGTGGCATCCAGCCCTTGCACTGTGACTCAGTTTTCTAAGTGTGCTCCATTGATGGGCTCAGCTCACAGCCCTGACAAATGGGGGGATGCAGCAGTGGCACCCAATGGCTCTGGTGCAGCAGGTTGGCTGCAGCTGGGGGGTCTCCTCCTCAAGCGTTAGCAGTGTGTGCAGAGGAGGCAGGATCCAGGAGATGGCTGGAAATGGAAAACAACTGCGTGTGTAAATCTGTGGGCCTTTTAAAGCACATCAAGTAAATGTTCTTCGCCAGGAGGGAGCTGAGATCAGCCACACTGCTCCACCCATTTGGTTTTGTATGGGACCACAGTCACGCATTACTGCAGAGTGCTCGACCAGGTGCTCTGTGTTCCAGGTGCGTATTTCTGCACAGAATGAAGAACAACCCCTAACACTTATTTTATATTTACAGTCTTAATGCACACATAATAAATATGCAATCAATAATTCATATTTAATATACACAAATTCAACATTTCAATCTAACAGCTTATAATAACAATATAAATACATGCACACGTTTTGCTAGATCTGACTTTACGTGAGGCCAGATCTACCAAAAGATCCAGGCCGCTGCATCCTTGAAGAGGATTTGCTCTCCCCACCTCCCTGGCAGCCAGCACTGCGCTGACACTTTCTCTTTGTAAACAGCTACAGCCAAACACTGAGTTAAGGATCAGGATTTTTCGGGAGCCTCTGCTCCAAAAATTCATTATTTTCCAAACACCAGATAAGCAGGCACTCTGGCTGCCATCCCAACACTGACTTCACCCAACAAATTAATTGCTTGTACCATGTCCATTACAGTTGTTCAAAATGACCTCCAACCATGCACGGCAGCAGCATGCTACATTACCAAGATGTGAAATGTTGTCTTATTTCTCTCTCCTGCTTTTCCACAGCTCTTTGTTTTGCTTCCATGGATCTGCCGTAACGCGATTTTGTGCTCACCCTGCCAGCTGCCCACATAAAAGCAATATTTAATTATACAGCTTCTTTGAAAGTAGATGCGGGTCAGGTCCTCTTGTGATGGAAATGGTGCTGCTCCCCAAAGGATGCTGATATCATTCTGGCAATGTCTTTTCTTATCTGGTACCAACTTGGCCGAATCCATGATCTTATTTGACAGACAAGTTAAGAAATGTTTGCGACTCTGCTTTTGCGTGTGTTTAACCACTAGTTTAACCACTAAACAAATTCCATTGCTGAAAGGATCACGTTAGGATGTTTGTGAAGTCCTGTTTTATGTCTCCTTTTGGTTTCTTTGTGAAGCAAACCTTCCCGGTGGGAGGCAGAGGGCATCCCCAGAGGTGGGGCAGGGACAGCACTGCTCCTGTGCTCTGCAGAGCCCTGCAGCCCTCCTCTCCCCTGCTGCTTTCAGGGACGGAAATGGAATAGCTTCATTCCTATCACTCCGGGCCTACAACCTGCTCCTATGTGAGCACAGAGCTCCAGCACTGAATTAGGGCATCTAAAGAAAGCATTCACCACTCTCTGGGAACTTAGAGAGTGACTTTTGCTGGGAGTTTGATGTAGCTCAAGAATGACTAATTAAGAGGTGAAATACTAAGCATAACATTCAAACGACTTTCCCACCAGTGGAAAAATAAAAATACGCTTCTATCAATATTCCCATTAAATACCTACGTTGTCACTCTGCGGCTTTACCGTAAGAACATTGCTTTCTGAGAGTCATTTCAGATTGGGATACAAGTTTAACGTGATTTACTATGTTGTAACTCTAAATCCTCGCTGACAGCTTTAAGAGTGGGAAAGTTCAGCCTGGAGTGGACAGAACGTAATGTATGATGAGGAACCAGGGGCTGAATCCTTGCAGAGGAGAACTGTTCTGATGGTGAGGAGAAATGCTTTCTAGATCCAGCAGGGCAGGGGCTGCCATGCAGTGCGGGCTCAGAAGCACAGATATGTTGTGATATGTCATGACATGTGAGTGATGTGTTGAAGATGGTATTTAGCTGGCGTTGTCTCACCTCCAGGTTTTCAATAACCCAAACCAAATGACAAGTTCCTTCAAAGTAAATCATGGCACTCACAGATATGCAGGTGATTGGGTTATTGGCTTTAGTTTCTTGTCTGCGAGCACCGGAATGAATGTAGGTAGAAAACTGCATGCAGTGGAAGGAGAACATGCACGATAAAGGGGAGATTACTGACTACTTTAAGACTTAACAAAGCAGGAAATAGAAAACTGGCAAAAGCAGGACTTTTTTCAGGCAGTGTCCAATCAAACGGTGGTATTCGTTACCACCAGGTGCCATCGAAACCAAGTGGAAAAGGGACTGGGTGTGTTTATGGATATCTAGAATATCCAGAGTAATGACTGACTAGATAAAATTTGGAATGCAATTAAAATAATTTTTCATGCTTCATGGTTTAAACCAATTCCTATGTATGAGATTCAGAGTGAGATTTACGGTAGGAGCAGATTAAAGGCATCTGCATGCTGCAGAGCTCCTTTCTTTTCTTCTGCAGCATCTGCTGCTGTTCCAAGGCAAGATACTGGGCTAGGACAGATCCCAGGTCTACCTTGATCAAGTGTGTCATTTTCTTTGTTCCCACAGGGAATCTGCTGTGGATTACATAGACTAATTTTTTAGGTAAGCAGGGTGTGATGAAAAGAACCCTGGAGTAGACGGCAGATGGGTTTTCTGCAATTCTGAGAGGATAAACATGTTGAATGTAATTGTGGATTTGCCCAAGGAAAAAAAAAAATAATAAAAGGTTAAAAAGCAAGAAAGCTCTCAAATTGATGAGGCAGCTTCCTGCGAAACGAGGCACGGGTTTGCCAAAAAGAAAATAAAAAGAAAAATAAACTTAAAAAAACTTCTGAATTCATATAGTAGCATCCCACAGAACAATGTGATCTATTGGAAAAGATGGTTGATATTTAAATTCTTTCTGAAGCTTGAGCACTTAAGGTAAGCTTGAGTCGTGCTTGCAACCTCTCCTGTACAGCCTCTAGAGTTGGATTTTTTAATGATAATAAATACAGCAAAGACTCTGGATGAGGAGCTTCAAGTGGCCAAGAGGTAAATAGGCACTGAAGAGCTTACTTACATTCAATCACACACATTGAGATGTGAAAGGGGCTGAGGCTGATGTTATCAAGGAATGGTTCGGGAGGAACTGCTGACACACTGAGCAGCAGCTGAGCCCGTGCACAGAGCTGAGATGCGTGTGGGCATTGCTGGCATTGGCTCTGGCTGGTGGGGCTGGAGAATGAGGGGTGTCTGACCCTCAGGGCCCCATCCTTTGTGAGCTCTGCGGGGCAAGTGCTGATCTGTTGAGGCAGCGTGGCTGTGCTTTCCCTGTATGAGGAATAAAACTGATAAATACAGGCCGAGCGATGGCACGAGTAGATCACAAGAGTGAAATTACTAAGAAATTGTCTCTAATGAGATTTTTCAGTCCATGGAAAAACTATATTTTGGTGCAAAGCCCCCAGAACAGTTTCTGGCTGAGAACTCCAGCTGCTTTTATTGGTGGTTATCTTTGTTATACCCTGGCCCTGCTGCAAAACCCCTGGACCTGCTACGTCTACCAGTTCTGCTGCTGTTCCCCATGCACCCTCCCTCACTGAGGAATATGTGCGTGAGGTGGAAATGAGGAGCAACTCTTTGGAAAACCTGGTTTCAGTAACTTTTGCCAAGTGGACACAGGGAAGAGGAAAATGGGAATGGAGGCAGGCCCACGGCTGTGGGGGGAACACATCAGGGCTGCAGCTGGAGCAGGCAGGATGGTGAACAGCAGCTCTGCTTGACCCAGTGTTTGTGCAGAAGGAATGAAAGACAGTTTTTAAAATTGTGTGCTTGGCCTGGCAGGAACCAGACATCAGAACTGTATTTTGCATTACTCGAGTTGGGAAGGGACAGGATGTGGATTTGCTGCTCAGCACAGAACAGCAACAGGTCTCATCTCCTTGGCTATTACAGTTCGGGGCTGAATGGGACAAAACCAGATGTTCTAGCATCCTTGAAATCTCGGTGCACGGGACAAAATGGGTCTGCAGCTCTTAAAAAAAAAAAAAAAGCATGAGATCAGCTGCATTACTTCTGTTTCGGGAATATGGGGTTACATCCAAACTCCTCCTTCTCCTCACTGGCTCCACCGGTATTAGCGGCAAGGAGGATGCGCTCCCATGGCAGAGCCAGGCTCTCCGCTTTGACGCCGAGGGCTGGCCGGAACGTCGCTCCGGTTGCCGCGGCCATGCTGGCCGCGGCTCCTCGGAGACCGGGGGCTCCGCTCGCCTCCTGCCCGCCCTGCCCCGGCTCCCGGACCCGGGGAGCGAGGCTGCTCCGGCTCTGCGCCCTCGGCGCTGCCCATTCGCCCCCGTTTCTGTCCATCCATCCCCAGCTCCGCACGTCCCCGGCGCTGCCCGTCCATAGCCGGCTCCGCCGGACCGCGCTCCTCCACCTGTAGCCCCGCCAGGCCGAACCGCCGGAGCTGCCGCGACCGCACCGCCTCCACGCCCGGCCCCGGCTCGGCCGCATCCTGCGCAGCGGCGGCCCCGGGGCGGGGCGGCGGAGGGGGCGGGGGGCGGAGAGGCCCCGGCCACCATTTAAAGCGGCAGCGGCGCGGCGCGGCTCCCTTGTGCCGAGCTGCCGCGGAGCGCGGCGGAGGCAGCGGCGGGCGGGAGCGGCCCGAGCCCCGCATCCCGCCCCGAGCCCCGCGTGGCGCCCCGGCGGGCGGATGAAGGCGCAGGGGGGCGCGGGTCAGCGCCCGGGGACGACCGGCAGCACCATGCTCCGCCTGGGCAGGCTGCTGCGGCTCCTGACTCTGGTGAAGTTGCCCTGCTGCCTGCTGGAGTTCCTGCTCTCCGAGGCGGCCCTGGGGCAGGAGATGTACGCGCCGCACTCCATCCGGCTGGAGGGGGACATCACGCTGGGGGGGCTCTTCCCTGTCCACGCCAAAGGCTTGCCCTGCGGGGACATTAAGAAAGAGAACGGCATCCACAGGCTGGAAGCGATGCTCTACGCCCTGGACCAGATCAACAGCGATCCGGAGCTGCTGCCCAATGTCACGCTGGGCGCTCGCATCCTGGACACCTGCTCCCGAGACACCTACGCGCTGGAGCAGTCGCTCACCTTCGTGCAGGCGCTCATCCAGAAGGACACCTCCGACGTGAGGTGCACCAACGGGGAGCCGCCCGTCTTCGTCAAGCCGGAGAAAGTAGTTGGAGTGATCGGGGCATCGGGAAGTTCCGTGTCTATTATGGTGGCCAACATCCTCCGGCTCTTCCAGGTAGGGCTGCGCGGCGCCGGGTAGCGGAGGGCAGAACCGAACGAGCCGTGCCGAACCGAGCCGTGCAGAGCCGCGCGGCGGAGGCGAACTCTGCCCGCGCCCCTCAGGTGCTTCGTTCGCTTCCCCTCCGGAGCCTCTCGTTTCCCTCCCAGCCGCCCCCGCTATGCCAGCATCCTCCCCCGTCTCCCTTCTCTACGGAGCGTGGCACTTTCTGGATTTATCGCCCCATTTGCAAGAAGCAATCCGTGAAGGGAAAGGAGGAGAGGAAAAAATAAAGGCGGTGATTGAGATGGGTTTGCGTTAGGGAGAAATACGGCTCGGCGGCGGGGTACGGCCGGGCCGGGGACCGGGGGGAGGCTTCGTCCCCCACCCCCCAGGGGATCCGCCGTTTCTGGGCGCTGCGCAGCGCGGGGACAGCGGCAGCACCGCCACCAGATGCATCGCGAGCGGCGGAGTTTCTCGCTTCCTATCCTCCGCCTTCTCACGCGGAAGGTGCTGGTGGGGTTATTTTTATTATTTTGTATGGATTTTTTTTTTTTTTTTTTTTTTTTTTCTTTTTGCAGCGGGCGGAGATATCCCCCGCTTTTCCCGGTTGGAAACTTGTGGAGGTTTTCCCGGCAGAGCCCATCTGGTGTCAGCAGCCACCGCCGCTTCGCGTCCCCATCCGCGGGGCCGGGGCAGCCGCCCGGCGCGGTGAGGAACCTGCCCGGTCGCTCTGGTCTCGGTGCTGTCCGTTCTTCCCTGAGAGCACGAAGGACGCGGTTCTGTTTTCCTCGCTCTCCTCCCCCGCCCGGCAGACTGCGGTGCGCTGAATCCCCGGCAATTTGCGCGGCCGTACCGGCGCTGGGATGCTGTCTCCGGAGGCTGCTGTTTGCGCGGCGCTCCCTTCGCTCCGCACTTCTCGCATTGCCGACAGCCCTCCGTGGGCTGCGGTCCCGCTCCCCCCGAACCGGGGCAGAAGTTGTGCCGGAGGATGGCTCAGCGGGCCGGCAGCTGTCGGTACCGAGCCGCAGCCACGGCGAATCCTGGGCGCTGAGATCCCGTTGGGAAGGGAAGCCCGGGCGCTCCGAGCCCTCCTGTAACACCACGGTACCTGCGAGATCTGTTGATGTTACATAAGGGAGTTTGCAGAAAATGAGGCATTTGAGCAGTTCCTGCACGTAGCGATATTTATATATCTCTAAACATTTTAACATATTGTGACTAAGCATCTGTTCCAAATTGCTCTTTATTCAAATCATCCAGAATGCAGGAACTGGTGCACACTGAGAAATCACTCTATGTATCTGCAGATTGGTTCTGCCTGCTTTAAGCACATTTTCTGCGTGCTAGAACTGCTAGAACTCTCATCCTTGTCATCCTTGAAAGCACAGTTCAGAGCACGTCCCAGCCAGGGAGAAATAAGAAGAAGAATTTTGAGGTAGGAGCAGGAGAGGACCTGTTAAGCGACAGAGTGCAGCTGTGTGGGGAGTGAGAAGCAACGAGGTACTGGAAAGATACACAGCAACAAACTTATTAACCTGCACACTTGCTAAAATGCATTCGCTTCTGCTTCCCGTGTGGCTCTCGTAGGTCCCTGCAGCATTTGCTGACCCTGTGGTGAGGGGGTGGGAGCTCCCAGACATTTGGTTTTGTGCATAGGCTGCTTTTTCCCCAGTGTCTCCTTCCATCTGTGGAGGCTTCTGCAGAGACATTACTGGTGGTTGCATTTCTCTGGCAGTGTTTTGGAAGAGAACCGAAGTACTCATGCTGTACCTCAATGTGTGGGGAAAGAAATGGATATAACCCACGCAGAGCACAGTGGGGTTTCCTCAAGCAGCTACTGATGCTTATGGGCTTTCTCTGCAGGAGGGGTAGGGCTTGAGCCATTCCTCTTGCTCTCTGCATATGGAATTGCAGCAGCCATGCGTGCAGCTCACCCGTCTGTCCCTGATACAGCACAGAGCTCTGGGAGCATCTCCAGCCAATGCCAACAGGTGCAGCAGCAGGGAAAGCTATAGTGAGGTCCTCTGACTTGAATTCATCTGTGCCGTTACTGTTTGAGGCTTTGTGGAAGCTTTTGTTTGGTAAAAAAGAAAAAAAAAACCAAACATGCAAAGATATGTCGGTTTATTCTGTGTGATCAAAGGACAAGTCCTGCTTGCATCTCTTGGAGCTGAGTGGCACTTGCAGGGGGAGCAGCTGGGGTGGGCTGGGGCAGGGCTCTGCCTGGAGCCTGGGGAAGGGCTGAGCCCCATGAGGGATGCTGCTCTCCGGCTGTGGCTGTGTGATGGAGCAGGTCGCTGCTCTGTGGGGCACAGGGGATGTGCAGGTGTTCTGTAACAGGTGCAGGTGCTGCCAGGGAGGGCAGTGTGCTTCCAAAGGCCAAGTGCACGAGGATTTCTCTTCCACAATTACAGCTGATGAGAGATGCAACCGTGCACAGGATTTAAAGGAAGGAAGATGTCTATCAGCCGGAATTCGAGGTCTGGTTTTGCCGTCGGTTTTGTGTGGACCTCAAGCAAGATGCTTTAGTTTAGATGTTTGGGAGCATCCCACCAGCAGCCCTGATCCTGCTGGGAGCATCCCGTGCCGCTCTGAAGGCAGCAGCCTGGGCCTGACAGTGACTCGCTGTGAAAGGGATGGAGATGGGGGTGCCTCCAGCTGAATGCTTTGCTTTTAGCACCTCGTTGTTATTTCATTTCCTCCTCTCAGAAGTGGGGTAGGGAGACAGCATCGTTCCCATCCAGCCCCGGGCAGCGTTGCTGGGTGCTGCAGCCGTGGGCTGGAACCGTCACAGTCCTGACGCTGCCTTGCTGAAGGCTGTGGGCTTCTGTGCAAGAAGTTGCATTTCCTTTGCTGCGTGGAAGGTGATGCCTCGTCATAGCTTTTTCTAGGACGCTGCAGAATGTCGTTTGGGAATGTTTGTTAAGCTGCAAATTTGGGGAAGAGGGCTGCATCATCTCTGCCAGGGTGCAGCATGGATGCAACAGGAAGAGCGATGCGTGCAGCAGAGCAGGGAGATAAAGGCATAAATACTGAAGTGTGTCAAGTAGGGTGACTTCTTCACATTACAATTCTGTGAGAGCATGAGATAAGCAATGTGCAGATTGTAAATTAAATATCTGCTCTAAAAATAAGACAAACAATTTGAGAAGCTCTTTCTAAACGCACCGGAGATTTCAAGGCAATGCGTTTTTTAGGCTGCTGGTTTCACATTGTAAAAGAATAAATTGTTACTTCACAGTGTCATAGGTTTCCCTGTGAATTCAACTCCATGAAATTCAGTAACTATGCTGAAACAATGCCAGATGTATCATATCTTCTATGAGTTAAACCATGAAGTGTGGAGAGAATCAGCACACCGATTTCTTTTCTGTTTTACACTGGAAAACTCATCTTTGGATGCCCTTAGAACTGCAGACTTCTCATTACGGGCTTTAATAATGAACTAATTACTGCTCCAGGTTTCTGTCCTCGGTGGATGTAGTTTTAAATAGTCAATCAGCAGCTGTTCTTCATCTGAATGCCTTTTGCTTTACATCAGTGATGGCTCCTGTGGCCCATAAGACACATTACTGTGCCCCTTCAGGAAACAGTTTAGAAAACAGAGTGGGATGAAGGTGTACGACTAGATTGGGAGTGTAAATTGAAACTCCTTTATATCCCCTGGGTGCTTTTACTGTATTTCCTTCTGCGGGTGCCTCAGTACTAAGTGAGAAGGATGAAAGTTGCAGTGCCTGCTTTCTGCTGTAGACACAGGAGAAATGAGATTATTTGGAAAGGAATACAGCTTACAAGTGTGGCTCTGAGCTGGGCACCTCTTTCCCTAGAAGGGGGTTGTGCCTTTCCCAGTGAAACCCAAGGGTGGATCCTGCTGGGGCACTGGGGCTGCCTGTGTGGCTGGGCTGCAGTTGGATCACAGCTGGCCTCAGGGACTCGCGTGGGGCATTTCAGTGGCCACCAGGTCCTGCTCTGGTGGGCCAGCATTGCCAAGGGAGGATTGTGAGAGCCGTGTGAGAATTGCTTCCGAGTGTGTGTTTGTGTCATTTCCAGATGATTTTAGTCTGATCAGCTTCTACAGTCTCCTTCACTCCACAAGAAGAGTTTTCTTGCTCTCCCCATCGCTTGGTTCAAGCTTCCCACTCGCATCACGTGTGCCCAGATGTTGGTGTCTGCGTAGGACCTGGGTACAACCCCAAAGGCCCCAGCGGAGCCCCTCCTGCTGGGCTAAAGGAGCTCATTCCTGGGGCAGGGTTAATTTCCTGCACGGTACCCCATGGGGCTCCTGGGTTCTCACTGGGAGGAACTCAGCATGCCGTAGCGTTGTTTTTCTCTAGTGCTAATGATAGGCCTTGAACTCATTGCCAATTCATTGCTGTTTCTCCTAACTTTTAGTAAGATGCTGCTGGTTTTAGTGAATGGAGCGATGATGCAATTTTTAAAAGATTGAGAACTACTTTTTGTGGTTACTCTCAGTGAATTTCAAGGAAAGCTGAAAATAGGAGAGGGTAAACTTTCAAAAAAAATTAAAAGGCTTCTGTGTTTCTTGGCAAGCTCTAATTTCTTTAAATCTCTAAATATTGGTCCTTGTTGCTACTGATACACCTAATGCCTGCCAGCAAGCTGGTCCATGCAGTTTTATTGTTACCTAAATAATTGGCTGCATTTAACAGATGTGAAGTCTTATTTGCTCTGTGTAATTCAAAAGTGCTGGAAAATGTATGTGTCAAGAACAACTTTTCTTCCATGTGGAGTTTCTAGTGGTATGTTGGAGGCATTATGAATGTATTACGCTGTATTCTGTAGGTAAAAATCATATTCCTGACAAGGCAAAGTTCAGCATTAGCAATAATCTCAGCTCTTAATCCTGCTTCAGGTGCTGCTCCATAGGATTCTGGTAGAAGGGAATGCAAGGAGGCAGCTGGAAGCAGAGTGGTGCTGCCAGGGGATGGACGCTTCTCCATGCCGAGAGGTGTAAGGATGAGTTTGCTCATGTGAGCACAGGGTCAGCAGGCAGC